CTGCGAAAGCTCTCGAGCCCGCGGCGGGAGCAGCCCTGTACCTGGACATGGGGGAGCTGCGCTCCCTCGCCTGCGACGCCCTCTTGCAGGAAAGCTTCTACCAGAATAAGAAGCGGCCGTATCTCTACCGCTGTCAGGATCACACACCCGGCCCGTTCCTTACGCATCTCATTTCCAGCCTCATCGCTTACTTGTGCAGTCGCAACCCGCTGCTGGCTGCCTCTTCCCTTGGTGCGGAAATGGGATGGGAGGGAGAGGGAAGTGGGAACCCTTGGGTGGTGGGGCAGTCTGTGAACCCGGCAGGGGGTATCTCTGGTGTAGCTGAGTTGTTCACACCATGACTAATGATTCAGCATGTCTCCTTTGTGCCATATGGTGTGCATAGATTTGGATTTTTCTGTTTTACTACAGCTTGAACAAGAACTGGGGACAGGGGGCAGTTTAAATGCAAAGGGGTGATCCTTGTTTCTCTCTATGCCTCTGTTCTGTTTCAGATCTAAAACCTGAGGTTAACTACTACTGGCATCATGGTGAGGAAGTTGTAGTTCATGGACATCGAAAGGGTAGAGTTGATCCTGTGCGATTTCAGATAGATGATAAGCCACACCTCCAGATCCGTGTGCCAAAGCAGCTTCCAGAGGTGTGGATATTTTCAAGAGCAGGTTAATCGCGTGTGTTTTCACATATGGTTCTGACAGCCACTGAACCCATGTGATAGATAGTATGTGGAGGACCTGGTTAATCAGGCATGTAGCACATTTGTGCATTTTTCAAGTCTTAAATGCCTATGCTACCTTGTGCTTGGTGAGAAAATCTTCTGAACTTCAAGTTGGTCATCTTCGTGCTTTAGATAAAATGCGTGTTGTTGCATTTAAAGTGAAGTTTTAAACTTCTTTTATTTTTATAAGTGGAGGCAAGATTAAGAAATGTGATGTGGAGTTTCCTCAGTGGAGAAGAGTAAGATGAGAGAAACGGAGAAGAATGGAGTGAGAGCGAGCATGTATAATCTGTATGTGAGCTCTGTTACACGTTAGTACTTTTTAACTGTTGTTTTCTTAGTCATCGGATCGTCAGACTGATTTCGTCGTCTGATTCTGTATTCTGGTTTTATTCTTGTAGGTTTATACAGTGGTAGTTGTTTAATCTGTGAGTGTCTGTTGCCCAGTTTCCACCACAAGCAGAAAATTGTGCTCCACTTCTGTAAATGCTGAGCATTCCTTGCTAACTTAATTGTACAATTTGCTTAGGTTAGTACTGTCAGATGTTACAAACCTCGGCATTTTGGAATAACTGTCTAGGCAATTAAAATGTTACACAGTGCAAAACACTGAATACCTGTGAACTCTGCTGGTTCAAGTTAGTTTATTGACTGCTACTAGAAGTGTTTTTGTTCATCTTCTGCAAAAGCAGATTCTGGTTTTGAAGATAGTACCAACTGGGAGCTTTGTTGGTACAATTTCACATGATGATTTTTGCATATTGTAGAAAATTTAGACATCAATGTAATATGTGTGTACTTGCACTCATAACAAGACAAATTCTGTTGCAAAAAATCAGTTTCAGTTAAAGCTTGATCGTGCGCGCGCTCTCTCTCTCTCTCTCTCTCTCTCTGTATATGCTGTATGTATGCAAGACTTGCACCCTCTGCTGTCTGACCAGAAGGTGGCATACTATGTGAGGCCTGATGTCAGAAATGTGGCTTACACCATTCTTTCTTCTACTTCCTTCAAGGTTGTACCACTGGATTCAGATCTTGGAGAGGTTCCCGTTATTGATCACAAACCATCCAAACTGCCGATGTTCAAAAAGCAGTATGAAAACAAGGTATTTATAGGTAAGAGTTCCTGGGCTTGAAATGATAAATTCTTTTTTGTGTACAAAACCAAAAAAAACCCCAAACCCTCAAAAAACCCAACCTCCAAATAAATACCATCCCCTTGACCTTTTGTCTATTAACAGAAAAAAAACCCACTGTATTTTTATGTATAACTATGCTATATAAGTATATAAAACTCTGTTGAGATTCCATGTAATTTAGGTAATAGGGAGTAGCATCTTCCTGTGCATATGGTACTCTGTCCAGATTTGCTTGAAGGAGTTGGGCTAAATAGAAAATTGGCAGAAATCTGACTTTGAATTTTGATACATCTGCTCAGGGATATTTTAGGATGTGATCTATTGCTTTTTGGATTTGGGCAAGCCTTCCAGTCTCATTCTGAAGTGGTGGAATCTCAACATGTATACAAGTCTACAGTAGAGGGTCGAACTCCTCTTGTGTTGAGTCTGATAGCAGGGATGTGTTTGTGTGCCTAATAAGGAGCATTCTCTGACTGACCTAATTTTTTTGTAAATTTGGGGACACAGGATCAAAAGTAGCAGATCCATGCTGTTATGGACACACCCAGTTTCATCTTCTTCCTGATAAACTAAAGCGGGAGAGGTTTGTAAGAGCAAATCTTGAGGATCAGATTGAAGTCGCTTACCGAGCTAACGGTATTGCAAGTCTCTTTGCCTGGACAGCAGCACAAGCAATGTATCAAGGTGAGACAGTCAGTTTAGTTGGTTTTAGATGGGTGTGCTGATAGGAATTTTGAGTCCTGTATAACTAGCATTGTTTCTTTATTTTGTAGGATTCTGGAGTGAAGCAGATGTTACCCGTCCTTTTGTATCACAGGCAGTAGTGACTGATGGAAAATACTTCACTTTCTTTTGTTACCAGCTAAATACTTTAGCACTAACAGTAGAAACTATTAAAAATAGCCCTCGGAAGAATATCTGTTGGGGTGCAGTCAGTAAGCCATTGTATGATGTTGTAGAAAATGGTAATGTGAAAGGTTTTAGTGATGAAGTTCTGCTTCAGTTGGTTCATTTTCTGTTAAACAGACCAAAAGAGTTGTAAATCATTAAAAAATAAAATATTCTTGTTCATGCGCCTGAGCTTCATTGTAACTCCATGGACTAGAATATGCCTTGTTCTTAGTCAAGTATTTGTCTAGCAAACACTGTCTACATCTTTTATAATATTTGGGCCTTATTTCTTTATTTTAAATATATGGTACTGTACACTGAAAAATAACTGAAATATAAATGTCTAGAATACCATGTCTTTTGTATATTTACTGTTAGAAGTGGATTGCGCTAATTCAGAATCATGTGAATACTTTCTTTTAGCAGATCTATAGCTCTGTTGAACTACCACAACAAAATAAGAATTCATATGACCATCTGATCATGCCGTTAGGTAATTGCTGTCTTGATATTCAGGACCAGTGAAATATTTCTGATTTTGTGCCTGAAAATAAATTGGTTCTCTTAAATGCTTACTCATTCTAAAAAGAAAATGAGCGCAGAATAAAAAGTGTTTCTTAAAACTGAAATGTTGGCAGTTTAGTTACATAGCAAGGGAAATTAGACACTTATTGAGAAGCAGTATAAACACAATGAAACTTGTTTCCAAAGTTTCTATTACGAATATTCATATGCACTTCTAAGCTGTCACCTTAGGAACCACAGAGAAAACTTAAATGCATTTGGAGTCTATAGTTTTCCTTTTAGCTTGGGACCTTGATTTCAGCGGTAGGCATCTTGATGTTTTCATTGCTGATACTTAGATGTGTTATGAGTGTTTTTAGTAGACCACAGCTGAGCCAAACCATGACTAGGATGTCTGATTAGTAAGATACATGTTGTAAGGACTGTTTTAAGAATATTTACTTGTCAACAAAGTATTTCTTGTTTTGAGGTAGTTGAACACGCCTAGAGTTGTATGTAGTTCCATGCATGGTGACTGACCTTTTTGGAATTTTCCAGGATTCTTATTAAGAGTGAAGTAGTTTGTTTTTAAAGAGAGTACTGAATCATCTGTGACTTTTGTTGAAATAGTTGCCTGCACATTCTTCAGCCTGAGCAACTGAGGATCCTGCTTCCTGTTGTAAACTGGCTTACAGAGTATTCTACTAATGAAGATGAGGATGTTGTAGAGTAGTACTTGGTTGGTACTTTGCTATGTTGGAACAAGCTGTCATTGCCACTTTCTCTACCACCACAGCATATCTTTTTAAGAGAAGTAAAAAGTTCTTAGGTGCTTGTTTTGTCTTAACAACGCTTGAGTATTACTAATTCTGATCACTGAAGATCCGTGGATTAAATGAATGCTCTGTGTAGGAACAGGAGATAACTGCTGTGTAGGCCTGTTGATTACAGAGGATGACCTGAGACCTAGCTTAACAGTGACTGATGCTTGTTTTCTGGTGTGACAAAGGGGTGATGCAAAATGAATGTATTATTTTAG